ATACAATTGTTTTAATATTTATATATATATATATATATATATATATATATATATATATATATATATATATATATATATATAAAACACAGTAATTTAAATATATATTGTCATGTTCAATTCAATAATGAGAATTTATTGAGCGACAAATATTTCTAAAATTCAACCCATAAAAAGTTTACAAAATTAGGCATATCACACAAAAAATAAAGAATATAAAAATAAAAAATAAAAGCAACCCTGATCTTTCAAAAATGAAACAAAATTATACACGTGTTTTACGGCAACCACCCACCCAATAATATTAAATAAAATAAAACATATAAATAAAGATTAACAAAAAAAACAAAAAACAAAACAAAATAACAAAACAACCCCCCACCAAAAAACAAAACAAAGGTTAGTTAGAAAAGAACAGCTTCATAAACAATTTTAATTGTGTCTGAAAGGGTGCTGAAGAATTTCTAGACCTGACCTCTCTGCCTAAATGACCAACCAATAGATTTTTTTAAAGGGTTCATTACCAATAAATCTTTAAGCCAACTTTCTTAACAACACAAATCAATTGCAAATCTTATGAATTTGTCTGGCCATTATGTCCATTCAGAACGTATGCGATCATGACTCTCCACAATTTTCCATTTCTTTATTGTCTGTGAACTGCCATGACTTCCTGGGAAAGGTACTAGTTCCTTGTTTCTTTCTTTAGAGTTTTCAATTCAAAGTAATCTTTCTGCTAGACTGACTGTTAGCCAAGGCTAGAGAATACAGTCTATCCTGCTATATAACCTATAATTGGTAGTGTGGGGAGAAGGGATGAATTCATACCTTTCCCCAAAGGTATTTGGGCGGAACTAAACGTAACAGACGACAAGACGGAGATTCGAACTTGGCTCGTACTTTTCAACGCAGATTAGAACGTAATCAGCCTTTATTTATTTTTGTCATGTATTCGCATATATAATGTAATGAAAACCTTTTTTGATTTACTCTAAATTATATATATATATATATATATATATATATATATATATATATATATATATATATATATATATATATGCATACGCGCGCACGTGTGTGTACGTGTGTGCGCAGTCAATATTTGCTCGATATTTTATGTATATCTTATCTTTCGTTTATTTTTAATTCATATCTTAAACATACACACACACATGCACACACACGTACACACGCAAACTCATACGCACACACATATTTGCATCATATCTTTACTTTAACATATGTGCGTATATGTTTGTACTTGAGCCCCGTGTGTGTATATGTGTGCGAGTGTGCAACTGAATGACATTTATTTATCCATTATTAACAGGATGTATTGTATATGTATGTGTGTGTGCATGTTTGTGTGTGAGTGCGTGTGTATATTTGTGTGTGTGTATGTTCGTGTATGTATCTATATATCTGTGTGTGTGAGTGCGTGTGTGTGTTTGCGTGTGTAAAATTTACATCGTATTTTTCTTCATATCTTCTGCATATCTTCACGTGTGTGTGCATGTGTGTGTGTGTGTTTGTGTGTGTGTGTGCGTGCGTGCGTGTGTGTGTGTGCGTGCGTGCGTGTGTGTATAAAAAAATGATTTTAGCAATGTCAATAGGAGACAAAAAAAAGAAATAATTTATGTTTGTTTTTTACTTACGTTTTATAGGCTTCGGATGGGACTGTTTCCGCCGAGACATGTTAAAACTCCACTGACATCCACTTAAACTGCCCGGTATTGGCTTTCCTCAGCCAAGCCATACGCTGTCACCTCTAACCTCTCACCTCTGACCTCTTCCTCCCGCTCTTTTTGCTCTCCTCCTCCTCCTCTTTTTTTTTATTTCCTTCCTGTAATTCGCACTCTTTTTCACTTTTAACAAAAATTCTTTACCTTTTTTTCTCTTTTTTATTTTCTCTTTCGTTTTTCATTTTTTTTTTTCATTCGAGATTTATTTTGATAATTTTTTTGATGGGGAAAATCGTATAAAAATTGTTGCAAAAAGGAAAAGTGAATTAACTTGAAACTGTAAAATTTGGAACAAACTTGTTTTTTTCTACAGTTATTTTTTTTTTGTATTTTTATTTCTCTAATTTTTTTTACGTTTTTATTTATATTCTTTTTTGTTGTATCTAGTTCTTTAAATTCTTTTAGTATTCTTTTTTCAAAATATTTTTCAAAGTTCGTCTGCACACAAAAAGCTCAAATTTCAAAGAAACTTCATCTTATTAAAAATTAGTACCCCACCAAGCGCAATAAATTTGCCCCAATGGATTTTAAAAATAAACCACAGCGTTTATTCTTTATTTCATCTTATTTCATTATGTATTTTTTTTTAAATCCATTTGCAGAAAATATTTTTTTCAGAAAATGACGTATTACAAACTCCGCGTTAAAGTTGTGTATAATTGATTTTTTTTTTTTTTTTTTTTTTTAGACAAGTGGTCCACTTATTCACACGCGAATATTTCTTGTTGGACACGTGGTTAGAAGTTTTAATTTCCAAAATGGACGGAAACGGTAAATAATTTCCTTCTCAGCAATCTTTCGTCGATGCTGTTTTAGTCTCATTCGGTGTGTTTGAGACGACGAAGAACGAGCACGGAAACACGTTTGTTGCAGAAACAAATATCAAATCCTTTCTAAACAAAAACAAGAAAGACACACAAGCAAACGTGTTTCCCTTTCGTGAGCAATAATAATAATAATAATAATAATAATAATAATAATAATAATTAATAATAATTAATGGTAATAATTCAATAAATCTGCACACCCGTAGTGGACGTGGTTCCGCAAATTGTCTGCGTCAGTGTGTCAATACTAACACTGTTTTAGTTTATCTTTTCAGAGATCTCCTTTTGTATTGAAACGTATATAAAATAAGTGTAACTGTAATAGTAGTTTTCCTCGGTAGATCATCAATGGTTCGATTTGGAGTTGTATATATGCAATTTAAAATCGATATGTTCCACCTCGTACTTTTAAAATCCACAAAACGATGAATAGTTTATATAAGTATCTGTTGTTGTTAGTAATTAATAATAATTAGTAGTAGTTTAGTATTTTTGTTGAAATATGAGTAGACTTCTGCATCGATTTGACACCTTCACAGACTGTGAATGGGTCGTTGTAAAAACAAATATTATTATATATACAAGTAAAATTAAATGAAAGCTCGTTCTGTCAATCCTGTGTGTGTGTGTGTATGTGTATGATATATATTCTATATTGTTCTGTAAATATTCCTTATTTTTTTGCCGATTATGGTGTGGTTCTTGTTTCTGTAGGGAGTTGTATAATCAGAACACAAGAAATTGTTCCCGTTCAAAATAGGCTGGTTTGTTTACACGTTCTGAAGTGTTAGTTACATATACTAATATATATATATATACATATATATATATATGTATTTATATATCTATATATATATATTTATAAATATAAATATAAATATATATATATACATAAATACATGTAAATAAGGAAAAAAGGGGGAACCAGAAGCCGGTTCCTTCCTTCTGGCTCGCTACGCAGTTGTGTGTTGCCTGTATCTTTCCCAGAGAAGAACTGATTGTCGAAAACTCAACTACACACACAAACACACACACACACACACACACACATACAAACACACATGCGCACACATATCTCAAAAGCCAGGATATATTGGCTATCTACAACTACTATTACACAAACTCCCACTGTTACAACTACTCCTGATACTGCCACCACGATTTTAGAAGTCAGTCCTTCCTCCTCTTATCTATCGTTCTATCTATCTCACAATCTATTTATCTATCTCTAACACTCCCCATTCTTAGCCCGATTCGAGTCCGGGCCTTTGTCTTATCACGCCAGGCTATCTCTAGCTTTTATCTTAATCGTCTCTACTTCTTTTCTTTCGCCTCTTATCAGTCTTCCTATCTTTCTATCTGGTTCCCGTTCATCGTCTCTTTTTCTGTTCCTCCTCGCCCAGTCAGTCACGTTTATCAGAACATCGCTTATCAGCCAGGCCTATTTCTTTCGTTTTTTTTTTTCTTCTTTCTTCCTTTTTTTCCTTCCTTCTTTTTTTATTCTGTTATTTTTTTTAATCTCTCTTTTTCTCCCTCTCTCAATCTGCACGTTTTTCTCCCTCCTTACCATTCTTACTGTTCTCTTTTCCCGTTTCACCCTCTCTCGGTCTATATTCGATTTCCTCTTTCCATCGGCACTTCTCATGTTTTAAATCCTTCTTTTTCTTTCTTTCTTTCTTTCTTTCTTTCTTTCTTTCTTTCTTTCTTTCTTTCTTTCTTTTCAGTCTTAGCTTTTCTCTTTCTTTCTATTTATAAAATTAAAAAAATCTTTTCTATTTTATATCCAATGTCTCCTCTCTTTCTGCTTTTTCGTCTTTTTTCTTTCTTACTATTTGTTTTTTCCCCTCTCTCTTAATGAATGTTATATTCACCTCGATTTTAACTCTACTACTCTCTTGCTTACGATCTCATTCTCTCTCTCCCTCTCTTACTGAACTTTAAATCTCTTCGCTCAACGATTCTCCCTTCTCCTCTCTCTTTCAAACCCGACCCTTTCTTTCTCTAGAGAAATCTGTCCTTATATTTTTCTTCCTTTTATCTCTGTCTCCATCTCTCTCCGAACTCTGTCACTCTACTTTCCCCTCCCCTTCCCTTCCCACTGCCGTTTTGCAATTTATTATCGCTGTCTATATCTCACCCCCTTCTCCTTCCCTACTCACTCTATCTTTTCAGCTTATCTATGTGTCTCCCACTCTTCTGCTTTCTGCTTATCTCTCTATCGCTTTTCTCTCTTCCATTCGGCCCACATGTTGGGTGCTCTTTCTTTCTTTCTTTCTTTCTTTCTTTCTTTCTTTCTTTCTTTCTTTTCCTGATCAACATATCATCTGATAAAAGCGAGTTTCGTATCTATGTGCAATCACCAATGAATTTGTGTCAGGCTCAATATTGCCACAACCCAATTCATGTTGTTTTTCCCCAGACGTGGCAATAGGCAGGGAGAAATATATATATATATATATATATATATATATATATATATATATATTTGCATACATATACACATAAATACTGAGACAGAAACACAGATAAAAAGAAAGACAAAAAAGGAATATAAACATTTTATTCTTTCTTTCTATATATATATATATATATATATATATATGTGTGTGTGTGTGTGTGTGTGTATATATATATATATATGTGTGTGTGTGTGTACATATATATATATATATATATATATATATATATATATATATATATATATATATATATATATATAAAAAGGTATATTTAGGCAGAAAGTATTCATCTAAACAAAAGACAGACCCTGTCTGTTCTTTTTAATCAAAACTTGTTTGTATGCATGTATATATATATGCATGTGCACGCGTGTGTGTGTATATATATGTGCGTGTGCATATATATATGTGTGTGTGTGTGTGCCTATATATATATATATATATATGTGTGTGTGTGTGTGTGTGTGTGTATGTGTGTGTGTGTGTATTTCATTAGAGAAGAGAAAACTGACAAGATACTGGGATTAAGTTTTTTTTTCATTTTTTTTTGTTCGTATGTTTTTTCCCTTCTGAACATAAATTGTCCGAATGTTCAATATATCCAATCGCTTTAGTCATTTTCAAGGATGTTTTTTTAATATTTACTTTTTAACTGAATGTTATATATGTATCTGGAGTGACTGGAATGTTTTTCTTTTCAAACACGGTCAGCACATTGTGACCGTGTTATTGAATGCTGTCTGCCCTTCAATTATTTCCATATTTTTTTTCATGTGGATGTTTGTATTTTCAACGAGTATGTTGCGGATGGAGTTTGGTAGATTTCCATGTGTGGAGATGTAAAGTGAGTCTTCTTGATAGGCAGGTGGTGGTATGTTCAATATAATTATTCAAGAATTTGGTTTGAACAGGAACGCAGCTCCTTAAAGGACATGTGAATTCATAAATAATATTGATTATCTGTAATTTGGATGTTGCATATATATTCAGTTACTTTAACACCTTATATTTAGTTGATACAAGTGTTTGAGTAGACAACCAAACAACTGGACGCATGGCCAATTAGTTAGAACTGTTACCCGTGGCCAAAAGCGTTTGAGTTCGAATCTCGCCATGGTCAATTTGTCAAGGAGGTATCTTCTTGATAATATTGGCCTCTGGCACTGTTGGAAAATGTCTGAAAAGCCGTGTGAATGAAATTGGGTAGGCGAATCTGTTCAAAATCCTTCGGGAGTTGTTCCAGCAAGAAGTCCCCAGTCAAACATGAAGAGAAATTTAAATCACCCAAAAAATAACCCCCTTGAAAAATGGCTAAGGAAGTGGCCGAAAACACTTGGGACGATGAACGATATGGACAGTTATTTTTTTTTTACTCCCTCACGCCAATCAAACGGAAAAAAATGGAAGAACGATGGAAGAATTAAGTAAAAATTAATTAAATTTTCCTTGTCCATTCTATTGAAGGAAACATCTTTAAAAGAAAAGTTGCTGCACAAATATATATATATATATATATATATATATATATATATATATATATATATATATATATATATACAAGTATATGATTGGTGTAAACGGAATAAATTCAATAACCAACAATTACTATTCTTAAAGAGTGCTCAATACAGAGTAGATAATATAATTATTTATAATTATTTATTTAAAAGTTATAACATAAATATGTTATAAAATCACTACAAAAATAGCCATTATGTTTCAGCACCTCTGTTGTCTTATCAAGTAATGATGTTAAATGCTTTATTATAAACCCAACTTTAAAGCATTTAATAGTTACTATAACCTTACTTCATTGTCAAGTTTTTTGAATTCTCGTATACTTGTATTTTGATTGGTCATTTCACCTCATGTAACAGCGTTTCCCCTTACAAAAGGTGGTTAATTAATTTGAGCCTTTTAAATCTTTATTCTATAATCTGCATTCAACATCATCACTGATAAGACACCAGAGGTGTTGAACCAAAATGGGTATTTTTGTAGTGATTTTATAACATATTTCTGTTATAATTTTTAAATAAATAATTATACATATATATAATTTCATATATATATATATATATATATATATATATATATATATATATATATATATATATATTTGTGTGTGTGTGTGTGTGTACCAGGTGTAACAGCAAAATTGTCTAAATCGTGTAGAAGGATGGGATAACTGTCGGACCTACAAAATGTTTAATATCTAAAAACCCACTAAACAACTGAATTTCTTTTTTTTTCAGGTTTTGAGATAAGAGGTTTAGCCATCTTGACACCATTTGTCGTAATAATCACTGAAAAAATCTTTCTGTTACTTATCTAGAAAAGAACAGGTTAAAATCGTTTTGTGTCAGCCCCACTGTCTTCCCAAATGAGCAATGGTGAAATGGAAAAATATCATTCAGACCTTCTTCAGTAATGATACCAACATTCTTACTATGGCTTCCACCTTCAAAGTCTATCCAAGTATCATCAAGAGAACGGGAAATAAGTTTTAAAAAGTAGGGAAAATAGAGAGGAAAACTGGAGGCCACAACAAGAAGACGGGTCATCATTTCAACTTAGAGCTAAAGAGATCAATTAGAAAAGATTCAACTCAATCCTTAAGACATTTGTCACATGAGAGACGAGTTTCAGCTATGACAGTTCAAAGAACAGTGAAAAAAAGACTTCAAAATGAAATCGTACATAAAACGTGTGAGGCACACTGTTACTCCAGGACAGAAAGTTAAAAGGTTAGAGAGGGAGAAGATCATCTTGAATAAATTGGAAAATGATCCTGGAATAATAATTATATATATATTTGAAATTTATTTCAATCCTTCATGAGCTTCCGATCCTGAGCTATGATTAATTAATGATGAACATGTCATTTTCGTTTATGATCGATTTTATCACGATTCTTCTGTTAAGCACGGGAGTAATTATACGTTCTTACAACTTAAAGTATAGTCCAATAGTGTTATAAAAACCTCGGATAATTCCAATAAGATACCTTTAATCATTTCTACGATACAATAGTCCAAAGCTTAATCTAGTAAATGGACAATTTCGCTTTTATATGATTTGGACAATTTTGCTGTTATATTATTCTATATATATATATATATATATATATATATATATATATATATATATATATATATATATATATCGGATGAACCAGGTAATTGAGAACAAATTATAATATAAAAAAAATATATCGAAGGCAAATAAAATTAACATATTTACAGAGCAAAATTGTACTCATTCTCAGCCTAGAAGATAAAAAAGGTATTCAATAAGGCCCTCTTTACTCTTGAAGACAACATCGATGGATAGGAAGAATTATCTGCACGGCCGGACAAGGTTCTCGTTCGACTTATCCATCGCTTCCACGATGGCGGCTTTTAGCAAGTCTTCGGTATTGCGGGGAAGTTAGTCAGTACCCCTTGCAGACAAACTCCCAGATCTATTAGTCCAAAGATGCCAATCAGAAGATCTAGTAGGCCGTACGGTAGGGATGACACAATCAGGAAAATTATAGACCAGTTTTTCCAATGTCACGTTGGGCATGTGAACAGGAGCTGACATGTTGGAACGAGCAACTGATTGATTCAGGATTTGACCATCGTGTCAAGCCTCTCAAAATAGGCATTGGGACTGACCATGCAATAAGAAGGATGATGGTATAAAATGGCTCTTATGTCGCACGACAGTCATGACCATCAGGCATAAAATGCATCACCGTGGATCTCTCCGTCGTATCCATGATTGTCCTAGTCATTATCTCTCAATCTCCGTTTGTGGCTCGTGTCACTAGCAAGGTGTAAGAAATGAAAATTAAGATTTCGTGCATCCGGCGTAAACATTATGCTCGGACATTTTTCATTTATGCTCCAATAAAGGTGCATTTGAAATACTGGCGCACAATATATATATGTGTGTATGTTTGTATGTGTCTAATATATATATATATATATATATATATATATATATATGTATGTATGTATGTGTGTGCGTGTGTGTATGTGTGTGTGTGTGTGTGTGTGTGTGAATATACATAATATCCAACGTCGATAACATGACTCGGAGTTTCATGCAGATCTGCAATCATCAGGTACTGAATATGTTCTGACCATTATGAGATTCATGTTCTCATGGAGATGATTTAAAATTGTGTGTTAAGACTTGTTATTTAATTATTGTTGCCTAAAATATTAGACATAATCATTTCTAATCTATAGCATTCAAATTCTTCAGTTCGAATTTAATTAAATTTAAATTAAATTAAAAATTATTTTAACAGATCGCAAAAGCTATTAGGGAGACGTAATTAAATATACTTTAATATTTAAAAAACATATTCAGTATTACTATTGTTTATGTAATAAACATTATAACAACAAAAATAGCTATATCGTGGAAAAAGGAATTTTCCACAATATACGCATTTTATTAAAATTATTTTTATTTTTTTAAACTTTTATCAAAAACGACATTCTTGTACATGTAGTTATGGATAATATTATACATTAATTACTATTTTTTAATTAATAACTATTTGTGCTCAGATGTTGGCATTAATAATTGATGTGTTTGGAATAACGCAATAATAAAAATTTAAATTTCATCTCTTTGATAGATGTCGTGTTCTGTAAATAATATTTGAAATGAAATAAACATATTAATGTCAAGGGGGATAACTCTCTTTTTATGCATAAAATACCATAGTTAATAACATTCAAAGTACAGTCTAATGGAATAAACTAGTACTCATGATGTTAATAGAATGATAGGTCGAAACTATATATCTAATGTGTTTGGAACAAAGCCTTATACTTACAAAGGTAAATTACATATACGCAATATTACGCTAATATGGGATTATATGTGTATAGATATATAAAAATGTAATTAATGATAGGTTTCCTGAATATTAATCTGTTTTAAAACAGACATTCAGCACTGTATTTATAAC